TCATGAAACAAGTCACAATAAGTAACAAGTTTGGATAAATTCTGCTGCTAAATTGTTTTGGATGCATCTGCATGTCTGAACACAAATAACAAATAAATAAATAAAGTAAATAAACAACCACAAATGAACGGATCTGATTTCCTGTTTTGATGTTTGATGTGTCAGTTGAATTAATCTGACCTAAAGAAAAAAAAAAAAGCTACTTGCAGCTTGACCCGCTGCTTCACACTCACCTGAAAAACCCGAAGTGACAAACAAACAACGATGCATGGAAAATGCAACACCAGTGTGGTTGGGTGGTCAGACTGAGGTGTGAATTCAGGGGTATTTTTTTTCCGTCTGCAGTCGTTTCGTTGTTGGTTTCAGATTAGGCGGTTAACGTGTATAGCCTTTTCCTGTGAGAATTTTTTTTTTTTAATTTTAGCAGTGTCCAGAAATAAGAAAGCACAAAGTACTGTAATACAACCAGTTGCAATGTGTGACATTTCCATTGCTGTATTCACCACCTTCCTTATTTAGAGATTTAAAAACGTGCTGCTTATTCACTTTGTCACACCCACATGTTCATAAATGGTGCCGATTGGTCTCAGTCACACATTTCCGTCATGAGTCTTAAAATTACCCGTCGGCCTTCTGTGAAGGATGAAACCAAAACAGGAGCCTTTATTTAAAGTTTGCTGATAGATCAAACACATCCCCTCCATCCTGTCTTTTAACAGTTTTAAAGTGAAGACATTTAATATTCAATTCTTGTTAAGAGTCAGATCAAAAAGGCAGAAGCACTAAAATAGTCTATTACTACTTTATTTTCTCAAAATTGATTTGGAGCACATTGCAGAGTTTCAGAAACAAAAGTCAAAAGTTGTCAAAAGTGGTCAAAGACCCATTTTTGTTTTTAACCAGGTTGATATCTCACATTAAAATTAATAAAACTAACCTGTTTTTCAGCTAACAAGATAATCCTTTAACTTTAAAACAACCTGGCTGTGATTGTCAGGATTGAGCGAGTTGAATAGAAACATATGCATTTTTTTTACGTTGTTTCTTGTAACAAAATCCGACCTAAAGATTTTGGGTTAAAGTTTCTGCTAAATTTAGCCCAGTGAGGTTTCATGTGTGCGTTGYTTGTACATCCTGTTGATGTCCAGAATCGTCTCCGTTCTGAGTAAACGCGCTGTGCGGTTTGTCAGTGGTAGAGAAATGTCCAGCCACAGCCTACGTCTCACATCTCATGTCGCCGCATGTGGCTTTAGCTCTTGTTTCACAGGTACAAATGCACAAAACAAACAGGACTTAAAGATGAAAAAGAAAACTCTTGCTAAAGCAAACAAACATCATTGCACATTTGCTTGTGAGATAAGTATTATCTGGAAGAGTAAGCCTTCATCGTAAGCAAAAAATTAGATTTTAAACAGGCTTTTTTTGTTTTGGGGTAAGTTTTAAAYGGGATAATAGCATTTTTTATTTTCACAGGTGCACTCATTAAAGTAGCTTTTTAATGCTCCAACTTAAATACTTATTTGAAGCAAAACTATTGAATGCACTCACTGCAGACCGTAATAGTCTCCTATAGAACAGAGTCAGAAGGAACTCTTTTTTCTTAGCTGCATCTCAGATCAACCCCAGCAGCCGTGCAGAAAATCTAATAATGATAATTTACTGTGAATGAAATTCTGTGGGTGTAAACCTCGTGGTTATACACCCTGTCTTGTTTTGGGGTTGAACTTTTAAACCCTTTGTAAAAAAGACAGCTTAGTCAACTGAAAACGAAAGTTTGAAACGTTCAGTTGTCTCACAACGCAACCTTTAATTCCAGGAAGTTCTCAGTGCGCAATTTAAATGTTCATACGGGGGTTGGACTGTGGTGATGTTCATAC